TATGACTTGCTTAGATTATCTGTTAGAGTTAAATTTTACTTGTTTATTTTATAAAATTTAATTTATTGTTCATTGTAATTTGTATGCTTAATTTCTCTTAGAAGTCTGATTTAACATACATAACAAACAGCAAGGTTAACTTGTAATCTTCTAGAAAAGTAAAAAAAATAAAAAAAAATAAATGTTTCAATTGTCCCGACTAGTCAGTTTTTATTAAAATATTAGTAAAGATATCATTTTTTCAAAAAAAAAAAATTGCAGACCCGCTGATTTTGTTAGGCTCCATAAACAGATGTCTCTTGTGTATGGAACCATCAGACTTGAAATCCGTCAGGGGTATTGACATAGGGGTGGTTTCCTATTTATTTTTGTTTTTTGAGATTTTGTTTTCGGCATGGACTCACTAATATTCTCTACAACTTTGCTTTATAAATTCATTTATAACATATTGTACACTCCAGTGCTCATTATAGGTATGAAGAACTACAAGTAACACAAAAAACGCCCCTATTACGCAAAATCCCGAAGGGGTAATAAATAAATATGCCATTTCTTTCATATAATGGGCACTGGCGCGTAAAAGTTATAAAAAAAATTATAAAACGAAGTTGTAGAAAATATTAGTGTACACGCCAAAAAAAAAAGCAAGAACGAAGATAAATAGGAAACCACGTCTATTTTAATACCACCCCGGCGGATTTGGAGTGTGATTTTTTCATCGACCTTGAAAAAAGAAGCTTGTTAGCAATTTTTTTGCACCCCCCCCCCCCTATGACACCGTCTAGTTTTACTGAACTGTAAAAGTAGTAGTAGTAGTTAACTATTAAAAAATTTAACTAAAAGATCAAATTGTATTACAGACGTATTTTCGATATCCAGAGTGTTTTCTTTTAATCAGAATCCTAAATTAAAAATTGCACAAGATGACCGAAAACAGTTGACAAAAAGTGGACGGAGTTAAATGTATACGTATAGTTGATTGGATACACACGTATTCTACTCACATGTTACAACTATTAATTATTACATACATATTGTAGCGAGCACAAGTGTGTTTGTGTGCGATCGGGCACACGTGTGCGTGAACGGCTTATCGATTCGCCGACTAGCCGAGGGCGCCTCTCTTCATGTGCACCGTATTTGTAAATGTGTGTGTCGTACCTGCGCTCTGGGTCAGAAAAAAGAAACTATCCGGATGTTTCCAGGAGTTTCCCGAAAATAAACTAAAGAGTATTTAAAGGAAGAGATGATCGCCGAGAGAAGAAATAAATTTACCGTTGCAGAAGTGAATCCAGAAATAAATTGACAGTGATAACAGTGAAATAAATAGCGCAATAAATAGTGATATATCAACAGTAATGTAAATAAATAGAATCATTCATAACCTAAGTTTAGTAATAATTTAATAGTGTTTTTAAGTTCTTTAATAATTAGTGTAAATAAGTAGTTCCTGTCGTTATCAGTCTAAGAAGTTAATTTTGTTAAACCCACGAACATTACAACTGCTGTCAGGTGTGGGGTTGAATAAAAGACATTACACTGGCAAAGAATTAAAAATTAAATTAAAAGTACTCCTTCCTAAAATACTCGACGTCTGTTGAAATAAGTGGAGTGATTGACAGATATTGTAGGAATCTAATCAGTGAGCAGAAATGCAAAGAGCAACATCTACTTTATCAGAATGCCAACTGAGAATGAGACTGACAAGAATGTTTTTTTACTTGGGACATGTTGTATCAGCGAAGGGCGTGGCCGTGGATCCAGAGAAGATAAAGGCCGTGAAGGAATGACCAGTGCCTGAAAAAGTGCACGACATAAGAAGCTTGGGATTTTGCATGTATTAACGTCGCTATGTTTATGGATTTGCCAATATCGCCAAACCTTTGACACGTTTAACCGAAAGTGACCGCAAATTTCATTGGGATTCGGATTATCAAACTGCATTTGAGACTTTGAAGCTTTAATCACAGCCCCCGTACTGGTTTATCCTCGGCCCAATGGAATGTTCATTTTGGACACCGACGCCAGCAATGTGGAAATGGGAACCATTCTTTTGCAGTTACAAGATGGCTAAGAGAAGGTAATCGGCTATAACAGAATGAAGATTCGGGCTGTAGGGCCGTGGTGTATGTGAACTATTCCCTCCAAACGTTTCGTCAGCTTCTGCAGCTGACATCCTCAGTGGTAGTGCTGCGTTGACAACCTGAACGTAGATTATATCTCGAAGCCTCGACAGGGACTGGGTGCGACAATATAAAACACGACCCGGACTTGAAGAAGGTGATGGAATGGAAAAGAGACGGAAAACGACCAACGTGGCAGCAAATTTCTAACTGTACCCAAGTATTAAAATCGTTAAGGGCTCAGTAGGACTCAATNTAGTTTGACTTTATTCCTAATTTTTGTATTTCGAAAACTGTCACTTCTTGGGCGTCCAATTTTGACTTTTCGAATGGAACGTTGACATTTTTTGTTTACTTTCAAGTTCAGTATTATTTGAATAAGACCGTGTTAAAGTCTTGTTGGGTTTGATGACCGAAACTACTAAAAAATATATTTTTTTTGCACTTTGGTGTATGGGCCTGTAATACAAAAACTGCAGAATTGTTGCATCTGAATTAGTTGCTGTTGTTTGATAACTTACAAAAAATTGAGTCTTTTTTCTTTTAACTGTGAATTTTTTCGTTTTTGGTTTGGTTAATGGCTCTTACGGCAAAGTGTTAAAACAAAATAATTTTTATTGAAATATAAATTGTGGAACACAACAAAACTTTCAGGCAAATCAACACAAAATTCGAAAATAGGTAAAAAGTCACAACCTTCCATTTGAACAATTAAACTTGCATGCCACATTAACGGCAATTTTTGAAATACAAAATTGGTAATACTTTCAAAATATAAAAAATTCTTGGTCCAACTTCTTTCTAAAGGTAAAGGTGTTACTGTAATATACTATCTTGTTAAAAATTACAATTTTCGTAAGTGATAAGTGGAAATCTTTAAGTCTTTCTCCTGATACGATAGTAGTCGTATAAAATGTAAATGAATGAGAAATAGTAAATAAACTTGAATAAATATAATAAATCCGCTATTTTATTCCATTACACATTCGACTGCTATTGATTGATTGATTGATCGAGTTGCCAATATGTATGATCTATGTATGTATAAGTAGATGCTCTTGTAATGCTATAAGTACTTACGTTTTTTACAATTGTAAAGTAACTTTAATTAACTTCAGATGTGTCTCCTACCACCAACTGACCTTGCTATGTAGTAAGTTAGATGTTTTATATGAATCTAAGTACATTGATTTAAAATTATGTTTCATATACTTTTTTGTAATCTATTTCACACTTAAAAACACTTCTGTATTATTTGTGATGTTTATTCCGAATCTATACGCTATTAATTCGTACTTTAAGTTCAAGTCGATATAAGACAATACTTACTTAAGTTTTACGCATTATTTATCAGACATGCGCCTTGCAAGTAGCATTTAATTAGATACGTACATACGTACCGATAAACAGCAGGGTTGCCAGACTTAGAGAAATTTCTTTATGTCTAGGGAATTTAGATCTAGCTTAAGGAAAAGTGTTTTTTATTCAACTTTATACAAAATCTAGATAATTCTCAATATCTGGCAATTTTAAGCAACAAAAACAAAAGGTTGAAAATGGACAAGCGAGAAATTTAACTTTTTAAAAAGAAATACTTTTCTTTTAAAATATCTCTCGCTTATACTTACACTGTGGTAAATATTTATCAATCATTATAGACAAATAATTATATTTCGTACACAAACAACACAATTTAACACTGTTTTGGTAATATAAGGTATCAGGGGGTCATAAAATATGATTCAAACGTATAAATATGTAGAAACGGTAGGAAAATTTCTAAATATAAGTAAAATTGAAAAAAAAAAAACTCGAATCCTCATTCATTAATGTGAAATGTATACTGCTTGACCCCAAAAAATATTTTGCTCACTGTATAAATCTGTTGGATTTCATGAATACGATCAATTATTACACAGTTCGACTTTGATCTTTCACTTACATACAAGATTAGCTTGTAGTTAGTATGTTCGCAATAAGCTTAATTGTTTTACATTTTACATAAGGAGATAAAAGAATACATAATCGCTGTAATGGGAGTATTACGTTTTTTGTACTATTTTCAATCGACTTGCAAACAACAAAGTCTTTTATTCTTTGTTGGAATTTATGGAGATAAACACATAATTACATTTTCATGTATGCGTAGTAATTGCTCTTTTGATTATAAAAACTGAACTTCTTTATATTGTATTTACATCATCGTTACAAACCTTTGCTTAAGTAAGAAGTTAACAGAGGCGGGATTGAAATAATAAAGTATAAAGATTCTGAAAAAAGTATTTTTTATTACTGCCCTTGACATGAATGAAAAACAAAAAAAAATTAAGCAAACGTGTTCTTCCATATATTCAAACTGCAAATAAGGAGGGGGATGGTCAATTTTCATCTATTTTCTTAAATAACTCTAAAACTATTTATTTTAAGATTATAAAAAAAAAATAAATATCATATCCTTACAACAAGCCCTTTTCATTGAAATGTCACAGGGTACAGATTGGAAAACTGTTTTTTTTTTTTAATTTCCTATTGACCCCCTAAAAATGACCCTCACGTTCAAAATTAATTTATTTACGTTATCTGTTCGTATTGGAATCACAGAAATTCATAGATATACTAAATCTTAATTTAATCGATCCAGTATAACAGATATATACTAGACTTATAATAATTTAAAACCATGGATAATTAGACCTGTCGTACGCTTTGTTAACTTAATCATGCAGAAATAATTTAGAAGTTTTTTATCGATGTACAATCAATCGCTGAATGAAATTACATCTGCAATTACGATCAAATTTTCAATAACACGGGTATGTATTACTCATATAAGTATAAAATTGTGCAGTAATAATCCAAGAATATATGTATCAAGGCCAAGAAGAATAATAATAAAGGTTCAAAGTGACAAAAGGCTTTTCAGCAAAAAAAATAATTTAAAATACCTACAGGGTGTTCCACCTAGAGTGGTTGTGTGTTTGTGTTTTTCTTTTCAAAAACAGTTGAATATCTTAAGAACCATGAGAGATATGTATAAGAAACTGTTAACAAAGTCGACCTAGAATTAAACAAAGAAACAAAAAATATACAGGCTGTTCCATTTAAGATGACGAAGTTAGGTAGCGCCCACGAGAAATGGAGTACCCTGTAAAACCGCCTTAGGTGGAACACCCTGTTTATTTCAGTATTGAGGGTTTCTGAAGCATATAGAATACAGAATTAGCATCATTCTTTTTCAAAATAAAATTTTTAAAATAGTTTGACTTTATTCCTAATTTTTGTATTTCGAAAACTGTCACTTCTTGGGCGTCCAATTTTGACTTTTCGAATGGAACGTTGACATTTTTTGTTTACTTTCAAGTTCAGTATTATTTGAATAAGACCGTGTTAAAGTCTTGTTGGGTTTGATGACGAAATGAATACAGAAGAGAATGAAAGATTATCTGTGGAATATTACTGCCCCAGCATTTACCTAAGTGATCCAAGGAAACCACAGAAAAACTTGAACCAAGGCAGACGGACCCGGAATCGAACCGGCGTCCTCCCGAATGCTAAGCAATGGTCTAAACCTCTAGGCCATGCCGCTCGGTCTAAAGCTTGAGCAACCCACATCCTTAACTATTTGCAAACAGTAATCTAATCTAGGCCCTAATCTACCCCTCCAAACTACCGTTTCTGCCTCTAATATATTTCTGAATAGAACTTCATGCCTCAGAAGGTGTCCTATCAACCTATCTCACCTATATTTTTTCTAATACCTCTTTATTTCTAATCTTCTTTTCTCCACAGTATCTTCATCGTTCTCCTATAACACCACATTTCGAACGCTTCTAAAGTTTTCTTTTCCGCCACGCCTATTATCCACGTTTCGCACCCGCACAACGTCGCGCTCGAAACATTTAACAATCTTATTCGAATTTCTAAATTAATCGTTCGCGAGCATAAAAGTGACTTCTTTTTATTGAAGGCGACTTGACCTTGCGTTATCCTTTGCTTTATATCCCAACTTCCGTCCTGACTTATCTGACTTCCTAGATACCTAAAGTCAGCCACTTCTAATCTTTCGTCTCCTATCTTTACCTTCGCTCTTTCCCTATATTTTCTTCCCTTACATACAAATATTTTTGTTTTACGTTTATTTATTTTCATACAGTACCGTTTTTTCAGTACCGCTTCCATTTTATTTAAAGCTATCTGTTAGTTCTCCAAACAGCCGAATACATCCCTTATTTATTTACCATAAAATAAAAAATGAAAGTAACTTATAACATTTACCCTACCTTGAAGAGGATATTATAGATTTCTGTCCATTAGTTGTTAACCCAAGTACTCGTCTTCAGAATGTCAGTAATTGAATTTTACGTCCTTAGGGGATATCGAATCGGGTTAAAAGGTTGGGTTATCGAAACTTCATTTAATTGAATGTCCCATTTAAACGCACGAGCATTTTTCGCCTGGTTTTTTCTTACAAGCATTCGCAGGCATTAGAATATAACCGCAATTTGTGAAATAGGTATAATATATTATTCACATTTAATTTTAGGAANCACTTGTTATTATTTTTGGCTAAATATGCTTTTAAATAAAGCATATTCTTAAATTTTAACGAGGCAGTTTAAATAATTTTACAAATGGTACTGTACACTTTTGTCTAGTTCTCGCTCGATGATCGGTGAAGAAATGAGCTCCGCAGACAAATATGATTGAATTTGGAATTATGTTACGGCGCATCCTAATAAAGGAAAGGGGCATATCTCTAACTTCTTGAAACGAACAGTACCTATATGAACGCCGAAGTATGTCACGTTTTCTGGCTTATCACCTTCACGCAGTAGTTTTCACTAAAAAATGCTGGTCTTGATGACAGGCCCAAACCTGGAGCAGTAGTGGGAAACTGAGCATTGCCTTGATAATATTGGTCCAAAGCTCGGTCAATTTTAAAATACCAAGACTAACAACATTACCGTTTCACCAAGTTTGGTTCAATTTTGGGGCAGCTAATCAATGGTTTATCGATACTGTCCAAAGTTCGGCCAATCTGCAAGTGTCAAGGTTAGGTACATTATGGTTTCGCCAAGTTTGGTCCAATACCGGGCAGCTAGGTATTGACCTGCCAATACTGGTCCAAATTTTGATTAATTGTCAAGTACCAAGGCTAGGTTTACTAACGTTTCGCCAAGTTTGCTTCAATACTGGGAAGCCAAGTATGAGTTTGACAATACTGGTCCAAAGTTTGGTCAATATACAAATAACGCGGCTAGGTACAGGAACATTTCGTCAAGTTTGGTCCAAAACTGGGGCAGCCAAACATTGGCCTGCCAATACTGGTCCAAAGTTCGATTAATTATTAAGTTCAAAGGCTAGGTTTATTAACGTTTTGTCAAGTTTGGTCCAATACCGGGCAGGTAGGCATTAACCTGCCAATACTAATCCAAAGTTTGATTAATTGTCAAATGCCAGAGCTAGGTTTACTAACGTTTTGCCAAGTTTGGTTCAATACTGGGAAGCCAAGTGTAGGTTTGACAATACTAGTCCAAAGTTTGGTCAATATTCAAATAACGAGGCTAGGTACAAGAACAATTCGTCAAGTTTGGTTTAAAACTAGGGCAGCCAAGTTTGGCCCAGTGTGGGTAGCTAATAGTTGACAACGAAGTATCTATTGATCAAGTTGGAGAGCTCTGTATTTGCGTTTTTTGTTTGTTTTACTTTATTGTGGCGTTTTGACATTTAAAATGTTTTAAACAAAGAAAAGTGGTAACATTTTGTGTTATTGTGCGTAGCATCCCGTATATTCAATCACCAAAAAACTGCAATTTTTCAGACGGAATATGCAAAAAACCTACTTCGTAATTTTGTTATTTACTTTCATCACTTTACGGATAAATCAAATGTTAAACATGCATAGCTTAATTCATGTCGCAGATGATGTGTGTAGTTCATTTCAAAATTCTACTGATGAGTGAAATTTCCATACATTAGGGAAAAAGCTATATTTCTATTTTTAAAAATTTAATAAAATCTATTAGTTTATTATCGCTTCGCGATTACTGAATTTCCCGATGAAAAACGGTAAAAATTTGGTGGAATTATTGCCCCTTACATGGTTAACCCTGATTAGATAATGACTGGATGTGCAAATATCCTAAAAAGGAAATAAGAGACATTAATGAATTAGTAACAGAGAAGGCGGTAGGCTGAAGCGGCGCATTAAGAAGTCTAATGTGACCTAATATACTTTAATTTATTTACGAGGGTGGATTGATAAGTTTCCGGCCTGACCAAGAAAAACAAGGTTTTTAAAAAATTTTTTTTTTTATTTCTCAACATAAT